TTTCTAATTTGGGGGGGCCAACTTCACGCTGAATTTTCAATTGTCATTTATTAATAAACTATCAACTAGCAAACAACAAAAATTGACTAACAAATACCAACAAACGACTAACAAACTATTGGCATCGCAAAATCAATAATTTTATAATTTGGGGGGGCCAACTTCACTCCATTACACTAAAACGTTACTTAACGGACAAAGCAATTGGAAACTTCTTCACTATTCGGCACAAAAATTGGAAGTTAAGTAAGACTTATACTTAAGCAGTAGGGGAAAATTGGGAGACTTGCCAAGGTGGGAGAGTTGAGCCACCTTTCAAAATTGTATTTAAATTTAGCACGAACGAAACGTTAAAACGTTCATTGATCGCACGCAAGAGGCCAATAATAAGCATGCAGCGATTTTGCACCATAGCGGTGTTGTTCGTCAATGACAATGTAAAACGTGTTTTTGTTGCTGCGGAGTATATTTTTTTGTTTTAAGTAGTTTTGTGATTTCTTTCGTATTTATTGAGGTACGTATTGTGTGTTGCTATTATTATATTCCCAGACAAATGTAGTTTGACGTGTGCTAAGTGTTTTTTTCTACGATCGGAGGTTTTTCTTTGTCATAACCTAAATGGGGAATTAGTATGAGCGGGAGAGTTGCACCAGGGTGGTTGCGGGAGACTTGCTCAGTGGTTCATGTCTTCCCTAATATAATTTATTGTATTTGCAGTGCCAACTTGTACGATGCCTTTTCAATACAAGTCTCATGAAAATGCACGCAAACGAAAAAAACACACAAAAGTGGAGTTGCAAAATGCCATAGATGAAATTAAGGGAGGGGCTTCTATTAGACAAACTTCAAATAAATATGGCATTGATAGAAGATAGTGTACAAACGTTGTACGTTGCACGCCAAATTAATTTTATGCAACTAGTTAAATTGGATCGTGATTTCGATGAAGAATAAAAATTCGCTGTTTTATTTAAAACATTTAATTGAACTTCTATTCTAATCACTAAAAACTAAACTTCAACGTCTAAATTATAACTATCAAATTCGTCCAACAAAGAAAACTATTTTTGGGTGGTTACTGGAACAAAACTTACTTGTTTTAGAGATGAAATGTGAATAATGTCTGATTCTTAATGTACTATGCAACTTTATCTACAAACAGGTAAATTGGTGAATATTATTTTAGCGGGGGTGAATAGCTAGAAACTGAATATAACACAGAATATGGAAAGCCCTATCATTAAATGTGAGCACAATCGCCATACAATATTTCTTTCCAGTTTATAAGGGTTCTGTGAATACCCAGGTAAAATGTAAATTGGTATTGTTGTCACTAACTTGGACACTATTTAAAATTGCAAATATGAACTTAAATTAAAAATATTTCATGTACAAAAAAAGAGAAAACTTAGGACTTAACAGATAGAATTGAGACGGTATAAATTAAATGAAGATAAAATTCATAAATTTGAAGTAAAAGGCAATCAATACAATGCATCACAGGTATTTACAACAGCCGAGGGAAAGCTTCTTGTCAATTATTTGTTGACATGCAGTAAAATGCATTATGGTTTGACAGGAAAACAAGCAATGCAGTTGGCATTTGAATATGCGACAGTAAATTCAAAGAAATTTCCTGATAGCTGGACGAGGAATAACTCCGCTGGGAAAGATTGGTTTCGAGGTTTCCTTTCCCGAAATACAGAAATAAGTTTAAGAACCCCCGAAGCCACCAGTTTGTCTCGGTCCACCAGCTTTAATAAAAAAAATGTGAAAGATTTTTCACAAATTTTAGGACAGTTCTTGAGAGATATAAGTTTGAGGCTCACAATATTTATAATTGTGACGAGACCGGATGCACAACCGTACAAAACTGTCCAAAAGTGATAGCCATTAAAATGTCTAAACAAATCGGACAAGTTACATCTGCGGAAAGAGGAACTACTGTAACCCTTTGTTTTGCTGTTAATGCAATTGGAAACGTTATACCTCCTTTCTTCATTTTTCCAAGGGTTAGGTATCAAGACCATTTCGTGTCTGAAGGACCAGAAGGGTCAGATGGAGATGCTTATTCAAGCGGTTGGATGACTACTAAGAGTTTCGTGAAATTCCTTAGACATTTCGTAAAATATTCTCGTGCCTCCAAGACCAACCGCGTGCTCTTAATACTAGATAACCATGAGAGTCATGTAAGTGTGGAGTCAATTAATTTTGCCAGGGATAATGGAATTACGCTATTAACACTTCCTCCACACTGTAGCAATAAATTACAGCCCCTTGATGTTTACATATATTCCTCATTTAAATCTCGATACAATACAGCTATGAGCAACTGGATGTTATCCCATCCAGGCAAGACCATCACAATTTACCATATTCCAGGATTTATTAAGACGATTATGTCTCAAGCATTCACCCAAAGTAACATCTTAAGCGGGTTTCAGAAAACTGGTATTCATCCATTTAACCCACAAATTTTTAATGACGACGATTTTATGTGTTCTGCTGTCACAGACAGAGATTTACCTCAAGATCAAGCATTAACTACAGCGCGTCTAGAAACTCAGATTGAATTTGAGGGATCGTCTCAGCTTGGACAGAACGCTACGATTCCGATTGACTTTCCACAAGAACCTGAAAATAGTCTGAGTAATAACCTGGAAATATGCACTTCTCCATCGATCCCGTCTACTTCAAAAGATTGTAACATATTAATTACTCCAGAAAACTTCAGACCATTTCCGAAAGCAGCTCCTAGAAAGACAGATCGGCGAGGTCGTCAACCTGGCAAAACTAAAATATTAACAATGACACCTGATAAAGAAACTTGCTATAATGAAAGTCTTACTGTAACCCCAACGAAGAAAATATGCAACCCTAATAATGACAGTCACACGAAGTCAAATGATGAGAGCAAGAAAACCCAATTTAAAGATGTGATAGAAAGAGAAAAGTTGAGAACTGTTAAAAAGAGAGTTTTTGAGAGAAGTGACACTGAAGGTGACGGAAACTTTTCTAATAAAAAAACTAAGAAGACTCACGGAAGAACTAAAGGAAAAAAAGATAAACAAAAAGATAACAAAAGTCAATCCGTCCATAAGAAAACTAAACCAAATAAAACCATAATAAAAAGTAAAAAAAATAAGAAGAGATATGACAGCGGAATCTGATAATGAAGATGTTGTGCCGTACGCTGATAGTTCCTCTGATGATAATTTTGGAGAGAATCCTGTCATGGGAGATCATTGATACTGCTTCGTTTGTCAAACGGAAGATGTTATGACTATGCGTCTTTGTCTTTTATGTGGTAGATATGTTCATGAGTTATGTGTAGGGCTTACAGAAGATATCGAGGATTTCATTTGTCACGAATGTGATGAGAAATAGTTTTCTGTGCAATACTAGGGTCAATTGAAAAGTCCCCGGCCTGACACATAGATGGCGGCACCAGAACTAAATCCATATGATTTTCAGTTAGTCATAACCTTCAAAAGACGCGTCTATAAATTTGACGGCTGTCGGATCATTAGTTTGTGAATTATAGCATTTTTAGTGAAGCAACTTTTGTTATTGTGAAAAAAATGGATNAAGACTGGTAAATCATACCAAATGTTATAATAAAAAGTTAATATTAAAAACACTGCTAAAGTTTAATTATGTTTAATTGTTTATTTGAAAAGTTACTATTGCGATTTTGTTTATTTTGGAACAATTTTACCAAAAATTTGTTATGTTAATTACATTTTCTTTGATGGCAGTATTAAAAACAAGTTAATTATTGTGTAAGATAAGATAATCAAACTATGATTGAACCCGAAAATGTTTTTTTTCCACAAAAATAATACGGTCAATTCTCCCCATACCCCGGTTCAAGTGTCCATGCTGGTGGGGAGACTTGACTCATCTCTCATTTTTTAGTAAAATGCCAATAAAATTTTACCTGCGCATTTATTAGCAATACAATTAAGCACAAATGTACCTACTAAAGTAAGGCATCGCATAAGTGTATAATCGATTCTCTAATCCCAATAAACAAGTAATTATGATATTTTATATTAAAAGTGGTTCAACTCTCCCGGACTTCCCCTACTTTGTTAAGTCTGCCGTAGTAAAACGTGGGTGCAAACGGGCATCAATTCACAATATGTAAGTAGTGCACTAGAGATAGAGAGAGGGAGATCATCAGTGCCGCGCCAGATGATATACGAAACCCCGTGCGCTCACTTGAACATCTCGATCAGAGTAATTTGCCTCGAAGTTGAAGTGCGTTTCCGTGCGGCAAGGTCACGCAGGCGCCGGACGGCAAGAAGTTGTACACCGTCGCATTCGGGTTGCCGCTCCATCCACTTCAGGGCGTTATCTAAGCACATAAACGCTTCGCTGTGAAATGGTACGCTTTGGTCTTGTGCCTCTTCCCTTTCGGTCTCATTGTCGTCCTCTTCATTATCCTGTTCGTCCATAGTACTCGCTGCGATTTCATCGTCTGTCTGTATCTGGAACCCTTGATCGTTCTTATCACAGTGCAACCATTCTTCCATATCAGCGACATCACACTCCGAACATCCCGCGATTTCATTAGCCATGTTTACAAATTCTTCTACTGACGGTAATTCCTGTTCGTCTTCAATAACTTCAGCGGCTGATTCTCGTTCCTTCGCTTGCTTTTCTAACTCGAGTTGCTCTTTCGTTGATGTGCCGTTTATTTTATTCCAAGCTCGTTTCAGAGAAACAGTTTTAACCATGTCCCAGCAATCTGCAATCATGTAGCAACAGTCTTTTCAAGTTGATTTTTTGTACGAATCCAAAACTCGTTCTTCGTCGTTCTCTTCAGCTAGAAGCAATTTACGAAGCAACTATCGTCTGTAAAGTCGTTTCGTGCACTCAATCACACCCTGGTCCATGGGCTGCAGCAGACTTGTGACGTTAGGTGGTAAAAAGAGACACTTAAATTTCCAGTCTTCTCTCACGACAAGCTCAAGTGATAGATGCATTGGTGCATTGTCAATAATTAGCAAAACTTTTCACTTTTTTCCTGTTTCCGTTTTAAACTTCTTTATTTCAGGAATAAAGGTTTTATCATACCACTCCAAAAAAATACTGCTGTCCATCCATGCATTCTTCTGATTAGTGTAGGTGACTGGTAACTTAGCTGCGTTCTTAAAAGCCCTCGGCTTCTTTGCTTTGCCAATCAATAATAGAGGAAGGCGATGGGTACCAGTAGAGTTAGCGCAGACCATTATGGTGACGCGATCTTTACTGACTTTGTGGCCGGGAGCACTCTGTTCTCTTGTAGATGCTAGGGTTTTTCTCGACAAAACTTTCCAATTCAAACCAGTCTCATCAGCATTGTAAACAAGATCAGGGTCGTAGTTTTCAGTTCCTTTTTTAAAGGTGTCCACAAATTTATTAGCAGCTTCACCATCAGCAGAAAGTTTTTCACCAGCAATATCCAGTTCCCGAATACCGTGCCTATTCTTGAAATTGCGGATCCATCCAGTGCTTGCCTTAAAACCAGCTACACCCATTTTTTCACTGAACATTCGCGCCTTTTCGTTGCAGCAGAAACCACGTAAAAACGCAGTCACAAAACTTAAAATTTTTTCACTGTTATTTTTAATATCATCACCTTTTTTTAACTGATTAATTATTTCAACTTTGACCTTTAGTGATAGGACGACACGTTTCCGCTTTGCACTCATTTTGGTTATTCACTTATCATATATGTAACCGTTCAAAACAGCGATCTTCACAATGAAAGAAAGAGGAGCTCACCAATAGTAATTCAATGTTATTGAGTTGAAAAAAAAAACAGACGTTCCGTTTCACGGAAGCCGCGCGACGCAAAACATGTAGTGTCTTGCCTCTAGCTTTCAACCATAACAGTTGAAATATATTTAGACTCCAGCGAGTTTCAACTTGTGACAACAAAACAAGAAAAATTACATTATGTACTTACTTACAGTGCTTGGTTTTAATTTTTTATATTACGCTTAGGACCGATTCGGATAATTGGCGATTCGGTTAATCGGCGTTCGGATAATCGGCGTCTACTGTATTTCGTTTGTTTGTGATCAAATCTTTTTACCTTTGATATAGGTTCAACGTTAAAAGTATTGCTACATATTGTTACAACTGCATTGTCATTCCATCTTACCATAGAAATTTTGGATTTTTTGTCATATGCCGAGTCATAGGTGCCTCGTCCTTTTTTAGTGATAGTTTTAGAAATAGTTAATGGGCAATGTAAAGTTCGATTTTCCCTTATAGTTCCGGAAGCGAAAAAACCTTTCTTTTTGAGATAAATGAATAATGTGTACCGGGAAAAAAAAATTATCAAAAAGAAGCTGTTGGTAAAACGGTTGATCTACAACGCTTAATAATTTTACAACGACATCCCCTCCAAGCCCAAAGCTTGACCGCTTATTATCAGAAGCTCCACCGTAGGGAAAAGAATAAAAAAGGTAGCCATCTGAGGAACAAAGGCACCATACTTTGAAACCAAACCTTACAGGTTTGCCCTTCATATACATTTTACATGAATGTCTTCCAAAATATGGTACCATTTGTTCGTCGATCGATAAATTGGTAGAAAAAACACCCCACTGCAGGGTTTTCTTATTCATAAGATCTAAAAACGGTCGGACTTTAAAGAACTTATGATTGTTATCCAATTTTGTATTATCAGATAAATGAAAATTGCGCTTTACTTCATGAAAACGGTTGCGGCTCATACACATTTTTACGATATCTACTGCCTTGTCTTCATCATTAGACCAGTACATAGTAGTCTGTGGAAGACTATGATAACCTGATAAAAGCATTATTCCTACGAATTTCAGAAGGTCGTTTTGCGTGAATTGAAAATGCTGACGGTTATTCTGTTGAGCATATTTTAAAGAAAATTCAACAATAAGTTCCCGAATTTCATCATCGAAAAATAAAAAAAAATTCCAATGGGATTTTTCGCCTAATTTTTGAATAAAAATTTGTTTTTTTTTTTCAAGTTCCTTACATATATGAGAATGGGTGTATTGAATATTGCCCTTTACCCATTCAGATGTATCTGACGCAGAACTGCAACACAATCTTTGCTTTTTAAACGCTAAGGTTTTCTCATCTGAAGAATCAAATTCTTCTATATACTGGTCAATGTCGGAATGTTCCAGATATGTCTTGAGATTCATGCACCCCTTGCGCCAAAACCACATCATCATCGAATTGTTCCTCATCGGAAAGCTCATCTACATCAGGCGGCACATAAACAGCATTAATCACATCTAGAAAGTTCAAAAACTGAATATTTGTTTTCTGTAAATCAGAAATTTGTCTTATCATTTCTTTCTATTCCTTCCTCGTCAAGCATTTCTTCTAAAGCTGCCTTAAGTTGTTTTTGTGAAAAATACTTTCTAACAGCCTAATAGCAATCGCATAGATGCATAGAAGATGCACATTAAAATCTGGCGTATCTTTCATTTTATTACCCTGATGTTTTTGGGAATATGTACTACAACTCAGATGCATTACCTCCAAACTACTGCGAACCATCAGGGCCAGGCTGCACGGAAATTACAGGTGGCAAATATATCGCCAAACCTATCTTCGCGAGTGGCAGCAGGTATGCTACGTGCCACGCCACTGTTACTTCACGTCAGTGTGTACATCACCATTTGAATAGGTGCGTTTTAAATATTTTCGCTGCTATTTGCCACGCCACGTGCTACGTTACATGCTTTTGCTACTTAGGTGTGAAATCTGGCTAACATCTGGAGCTACCATGCATCTTTCATCTTATAAAGTGTGTCTACATATGATGATGTGTGCCAATCCAACGCCGAAATGTATACAAAGACAGCAAAATTTGCAAATGAGAGTTGCTCTTCCTGTTTTAGCGGAATACGTGATCATTTAAAAATGGTATTTGATGAAAATGAAGTGACAAATATTCACTTTGAAAAATTGGAAGGTACAGATCGCTTCATGACAGTCACCCAAGTGCTTTCTACTGATGATTTTGTTGATTGTTTGTGTAACGCTTTGGACATTTCGAAGTCGCATGCTTATATCACTGAACAACAAGCGCTTTGTTTTAGAACTCTAAAGAAAACCATCTGTGAAGGCGAAATTCTCGTTCAATGTAATTTTGCCGAAAATTACAGTTTTGTCGTACAAGATGTTGCCCAATTATTTCATTGGAGTAATGATTAAGCTACGCTTTTGCCATCTGTTTATTATTATAAAGATGGAAATGACATTACACATGGAAGCATCATCATGATTTCGGACGATTTAAAGCATGATACTGTCACATTCTACGCTTTCCAAAAAATACTGCACCAGCTTCTTGATGAGCACATAATTGCGGTTTCTGTCATGAAATACATCACAGATAGGGCTTCCCAACATTTTACGAATAGGTTCAATTTTATGAACCTAATTTACTACAAACAAAATTTTAAGAAAGACGCACAGTTACACTTCCATGCCATCGCTCATGGAAAAGGGCCATGTGATGGTTTTGGATGAAACCTAAAACGTTTGGCAACCCGTGCAAGTTTACAGTCTACGAATAACGCTATCACTACACCTATAAGATTATATGAATGGGCCAAGTCATCATTGACTGAGACTTCTATTTACCACTGCTCGAAGAAAAGTATTCAACAAGAGCGAGAGTCTGTTTCGCTTCCGCTATCATCGTTCCAGGATCTAAACAACTGCATGCTTTTCTTCCAACCAACGAGGGTTTATGTATAAAGAGAATTAGTGCTAGTGCAAATAGTAAAATTGTAAAAATTACAAAATAAATATCTCTATTTTGATTAATACTGTTCCAATCTCAATTAATAAAGCCGCTCTAATTTCACCTCACGTTTTAATTTTTTTGTGAAGAAGAATGTATGGTTGGATAGGAACAAAAATTGTGTTATGGAAGTAGTAAAATGTAACATGCAACTTAAAGGGTGTTCCGCAGGAGGGTACAGCTGGGCAACCGCCTGCCAAAAACAATGCCGTCGCAAGCGATGATCGTTGATGAATGTTTCTTAACCAGTCCGCCCCTGGGCACATGCCTACGCACTTCCACCCACGAACGTTCAACGTTTTGGGTGTGTGCACCAGTTCGTGCTTTAATGCAATTCAGTTCGTGGTTCACGGTCAGATGGCGGTAGTCATGTTGACTCAACAAATTATAACTACGAAAACGTCGGTTATAATTGTTGAACCAGGCAACACATTACTCACTATTACGTTAACTAACATTTCCGCACTTCGGTCCGGCACTGGGACGAGAAACATTTTTCCCGGATTTGAACCGCGTTCACCCCGTTCAATTCCGCCGAGTACTCATTGTCCGCGGAGAAGACGACCCCGGTTATATTTCCACTTCCCCAACTTCGCCTCGTTAATCTCCACTATCTTCCCTGGTCCACCAAATTTTCCGATCGACGATGCACCCAGTCGATAAGAACCTCCCTTATAAACGAGAACCAATCCACCACAGTTCTCGTTGAAAGGCCAGTCTCTCGATGGGCATAATCGACTCGAGGGGCATTTCGGGAAAGATAAATGGTTACCAACGTGCACGCCTGAACAATGGGTATTCGCGAATGATTAAAAAATGTTCCTTGTAACGCGGTATCGCGAAAAGAGCATTGTCGGCGGCGGTTCCCTTTGTACGACAGGCGTCGACAGTCGTATCGCCACTGGTTCCTAACTTGTTTTAACTTCAATCTTTTATTGCACTTAGGGCACAGTGTATGGCACGACACAACTCCGTGTTTTACTAAAAATTCAAGTAACGCATCTTTTTGGTCAATTAGTCGCGTAAATTCAGCATCTGTCAATTGGGAGTTGCTGCATGTTCGAAGTGAAGCAAAAGTATTAAAATTATCCATTATTGCAATCAACGGCAGACAAAAATTTTGAAAATACAGCAAAGAACAAAGAATAATCAGCTTAAATAGTTTCCCCATCCCCTTCTTACGTATAACTTCTAATAACCAACAGAACGGTTACTTTTTTTTTGTTTACGGTATAGGTCCATATCATCATTCTGATTAGTGTTGTCGACGTTATCAATGTTACCAGTGGTTGTGGATGTTGATGGGACAGATGATTTAGTGGGTGGTTTTAAGTGTATATCAGTAAGGATTTTAATTTTCTTTGGCAATTTGGGTTTTTATCGGAGATGTCTCTTTGTCTATGTCGACTTGGAGGCAGTTATCTAGATCTTCAATATCAAACAAGTCCCTTTCGTTAAAATCACCTGGATTGTTAAACATGACTAATAATTTGTCTCTGCATTACTATTGCTTTTACCTTTCTTATATATAATTGTAGTCAAACTCTTCAAAATGTAGACGCCATCTGATTAATTTGCAGTTTGGAACATTGTACAACCAACGTAGTGGTTTATGATCTGTAACTATATTGAATTGTTTGCCGTATATGCAAGACATAACATTTTGACTGCTCAAATTATTGCCAAACGTTCCGTTTCTATTACTGAATAATGTTTATGTAGGCTAAGAGTTCTACTGATAAACATTACTGGTCTATCTTTGTCAATAGGGCCTTGGGATAAAACGGCTCCCAGTCCTACGTTTGATGCGTCACACGTTACATTAAAGGCTTTATTAATGTCTAGGTATGATAGAATTCTGTTGTACGGGAAATTTTGGAATTTTTCTTTAAACGCAGGGTTAACGGTTTACTAATAGTCGCTAATTTTTAATAAATTTTGGATAATATCCCGTCAAGCCAAAAAACGATTTGATGTCTAGTAGTTAGGGGTAATTTCAACTCCTGAATTTTACTTATTAATTTCGGGTT